GCTTCACCAGGTCCCAGGAACATTCTGAGCAAATGCTGCTGTCCTGGCTAGGCTATGAGGAAAAGATTGTCCCTGAGGTTGAGGACCCACAATCTGATCCATAGCAGTAGCTTTGGAGACTATGGAGGCAGGATGCCTGGTATTTACTCACAGTTAGCAGGGTTTAATGAGTTTAAGCAAGTCATTGTCCAACTCTGGGTTTTAATTTCCTCCTACACAGGTTAATGTAAATCTCACTGAGTTTTTATAAGACTCAAATTAAGAGATCAGGCATCAAAATGCTTTGATAATGGTATAAATACTATCTGCCTGATCATTTTCCTTTACTCCTCTGTATCACTCTTAATTATCTGCATCACAGGAATGCCTACTGCTTCTGTATCATTTACTGGAAATACATCTCAGGCTTCTAAGCCATGAATAGCACGCTGGTGGCCTCGAAGTCCTCTCTTGAAGATCCGGGGCTATGTTACGAGCAGCAGAAGAAAGGTCCCTCTTGCAGGTGAACTGGGACTCAGATAGGGCTTTCTGTGATGCCTACAGCTTTGACTCCATGAGAGCTTTTCATTTTTTTGAGACAATCTCGCTCTGTTGCCCAAGTTGGAATGCAGTGGCGCTATCTCGGCTCACTACAACTTCTGCCTCCCAGGCTCAAGCAATTCTCATGCCTTAACCTCCTGAGTAGCTGGGACCACAGGCATGCACCACCACGCCTGGCTAATTTTCTTGCGTTTTTTTTGTAGAAACGGGGTTTCACCATGTTGCCCAGGCTGGTCTCAAGCTGTTGAGCTCAAGCAATCTGCCTGTCTCAGCCTCCCAAAGTGCTGGGATTATAGGCGTGAGCCACCGCACCCAGCCAACTCCCTTGAAGAAAGGATTGTGTGTATTTTTCAGCAGTTGACTGGTTCAGAAGCATAAAATGAAGGCATCAGAATGTCTCCCAGCTTCACCTGAGATGTAAGGGTTGCTGTGGTAGGGTTGTAGCCATGGTCTTTCTTTCAGAGTGACTGAACCAAGATTAGGAAGTTTAGGCAACAGCTGGTGCCAAACAAATACCAAAATTCATTCAAAAGGGGTTGCAGAGCTCAAGCCACTAGAAAACCCATTCCAGAACTTTCACATCTCATTTTCAGCAGCAACCTGTTTCCACCATTGGCTCACAAAGCACCAACTCCAAGGTACTTGTACACAGATGTTCTGCTTCACCAAAAGTCCTCTTTTGGTGATAAACAGTCAGTGTAGAACTCACAGAAACGTGCATGGTGCCACAGGTTCTTCTGGTCCGTGACTTTCAGATAGATTCTTTTGACTTTCCTGGCACTCACAGGCCAGCACAGGCTGGGAGTGGGCTGGAGGACAAAACACCTTTACCAGATAAAACAACCAATACCAAACTAGGCTGGTCCTAAGACCTCTCCCCAGCAAAGCCTCAGGCTACTTCAAGGATTGTAAAGACAGGAAAATTCAGCAGGTGAGACGCCACACTGCAGTGCAGAAAGAGAAGCAATTTAACCTAGTCATTGAACACAGAGCTGTCAAGGACCTGTGGTCTGGTCCTAACATTGCCCAATGGGTTGGCTGTATAACTCTTAGGTGGGTCACTTAACCTCTCTGTGTCTCAGTTTCCACATCTTTCAAAGGGAAATAAGAAAGTGGCTTCCTGACAGTATTGCTAGGATAAAGAGATAAAATGAAATAATCCATGTAAAAACCTATGAAAAAATTAGAACAGTACTATACAAAATATTATCACTCAATGGTAAAAAGCTCAGAATGTTGTTTGCTATCCTTGAGCTTCACACCCTCCACCCTGCCCAACCCCAGCTCCAAGACAACAAATTTCCTCAAAAAGAAAATCCTTTTCCTTATTGCAGTAGTTTTGTAGACAACCAGTGGCTCTCACTGTCAGGGTTGATCTCTCTCTGCCGATCCAAAGGTTCCTCTAAGCCAGGATGACAAATTTGAGGGTCCTTTTTCTGGGAGTTCAAGCCATGAAAAGTCTATGAAACACGTGAAGAATGCCAGGCCATCTGTCCCTCCAAACCTCTACAGGAGCCCCTTTTAATAAGGGGCAGGAGAAGCTCAAAATGAGAAGTTAGAGTTTCTAGGACCTTTGCTAACCCCACTGCCAACTTGCAGCCACACAAGAGGGCAGCACCCCTTGCTGCTCAGGGAACCCTGTGGGCCACTCACACAGGCAGCACTGACTCCATGCGTGTATGTGGCTCAGCTCCTCTCCTCTGCTCTGTGTATAGGAACAGAACTGAACCTCAGCAAATGAGAAGCAGCATTTTCTGCATGGCTTCCACTACAACCGAGCACTGGCAATGAAACCACCTTTGCAAAAATTATATCAATGAGCAAATTATGACAGTGAAAAAGATCTGATCTAACCTACCCATCCCCACCTCTTGCCTTTCCCCTAATCATTCCTGGGCCTATTGTAGATTGGCCTTTTGAGATATCTTTTCAAGTTTTCTGCATGTCTGACATCCATGGCTTCATCTAGATCCATCAATTCCACTCCTATGGCCCCATCCAGAAGCAACTCAGCTCAAGCAAACAGCTTTAACCCATGATTTCATTTTCATCCCAACCAATCAGCAGCAAGCACCCATTTCTAGCCACCTCCACCCCTTCCCCAAACTGCCTTTGAAAAATCCCAGCCTCACATTAACTAAACTCTTTCTCTACTGCAATGCCATGGTCTTCATTTGTGCAGCAGTCAAGAAGAACCCTTCGGGCAGTTACAGCAATTCTCATGCTTGCTTCTGAACTACTGACATCTAGAGCTAGCTGCCTTCAGGTCATCTTGTAATGTGTCTTCCACAAAAGAATATCAATAATTCAAAACTTAACTTCTTCCCCTAAATATGCTCTTTTTCCCATGCTCCCACTCCAGTGGGTCAAGACAGATCCACTGGGATGGGAGCATGGGAAAACACCTGGGTGTTAAGCCAAAGGATTTTCTCTGCCTTACCTATCATCAATCAGACACTGAGGCTAAAACTCCTGTGATCTGATATCTCTTGAAATCTTTGCTTCCTCTTCATTCCTATTATTATTGATTTCATTAAGCCTCCTGTTTCTCCTCTGTACTATTCTGGTCTCCCTTACCACAGCTAAAGTGATCTTTCAAACTTAATTCAAACCATATCCCTCCTTTCTGGAAGTCCTTCACTTACTCCTCACATCCCCCAAGACTGAATCCCAACCCCAAAGCATAATTTACAAGGCCTTACAGCTCCTCTGGTCTCAATCTATCCCATTCCCCAGTGTGTCTCATGATCCTATCAACCAAATTACAAATTATCTGAAGCCCCCCTAACTGCCCCAGGCTTTCTCTCACTTCTGAAGCTTCCTAGTTGCCATTCCTTTCGACTATTTGTTCTACCCCTCTACCCTTCACTAGCCCAACTTCTCCTCTTTGAAATTTCAGCTTAAAATAATGTCCTGTAAGAAGTCGTCCGTCAACAGCCCCCTCTCCCAGAGCTAGGTACTCCATTGGGGTGTACCCCAATGACTATTATAGCACTTTACCACAGTTTATTATTGGTGCTTAACTGTCTCTTCCACCAGATTGTACTCTCCAGCATGGGACTGACTATCTTATTCACCAATGTATGCCTGGCACCTAGTAGAATATGGGGCACATACTTGGAGATTAATGTGTGTGTATGTGTGTGTGTGTGTGTGTGTGTGTGTGCATTAAATGATTAAATAAATGAATGAATGGTTAGGTGGCTGGCCCAAATACAAGAAGTTAAACATCTAAGAGCCACAAAGGGCCAATATACAGTACCTCAAGGGCCTCTATGCCAAGCCATTTTCAACAGGGTAAGATAGGCACAGACAAAAAGCCTCAAGAGTTATCAGCAATTTCCAAGTTGACATTTCATTTTTGCCATCCCTTCTTTTTTCTAAACTGTCCTCAAGCGTCACTGAGACTGACTGATCTAAGACATGCACTGTGATGGTACAGCTAGGGAAAGTTGGTGATGGGTAGGTACACTGAGCAGCCAGCATAGCTGGGCTGCAGGGCCAGAGGGATGCTACAGGGCCAAGGGTACAGGCTGGGAGAGTTCAGAACACCTGACAGAACTTCAAGTCCAGGGCTGAGTGGAGGCACTGGAGAGTTGAGGGCACCAGGCCAGAGAAGGCAATAGGGTAAGTGAAACAGGGACAAGGGACACTAGGAGGAATGGGTGGAGGATACGGCACAGCACTGAGGCCCCTGCTAGAGGTATGACAGGGGTTGGGGGTGAAGGGGCAGAGGTGAGAATAGATAGTTGAGGGTTCTGGGTTATGTCCAGGGTAAGCGAACACTTTCAGTAAGCTAGTAGGTGGGTGGACAGAAAGACCTCCAAGAGCTCATCTTCAAGACATCTCTGTGTCTCAGCTGCTCATCTACCTCTGCAGAACATCCCTGCAGACCACTCACCCAACAAATTCCATTGATTCATATCCTAAGGTAGCCAACTCTGGGTTTGGCAGCCACAAAAAATATTTTCCCCATCTTCATTGTAGAGAGAAAAGTTCAAGCTTTGGATTCTAACTGATCTCATTTTAAATAAACCTCAGCTGTCTCTTCTACTAGCTGTAGGGCCCTGGACTTCAGTTTCCTTAGTTATACAATGGGGATGCTCACTTCCACAACTGTTGGAGGCAAGGTGAGATAATGCTGGTGAAGCAGCACACACGGTTCTAAGCACAGAGGACAGAGGACATGTTCAATAAATTGGCTTTCTTTCCCTTCCCCCTTAGACTCTGCATGAAGCCCAGGAGGCCCCATTTTAAGTGTGAATGGGGGAGTGGAAATGGGGAGCAGGAAGATCTACATTGCTGACTCACTAGGGCAGAAGGCATGAATCAGGGCTGTGTAGGGTCCAGGGATGGAACAGGCATGCTCCTCCCCCCACCTTATCCTCCTCCTCCAAGTGCCTGGGGTCTTGGCTGGCAGTGGGTCCCATGTGGTCAGGGAAAACAGGCTCCTTTAGTACCTTTCTCACCACATTTGGAGAGGAGTGCTGGATGGTGCTGTCCACTGGGGGGACACCAAGAGGGGTTTCTTCCCCAGATGCCTGGGGCAAGGCAGCAGCAGTATTCTTGTCAAGAGAGAGAGCCTGCTTTGAGCCCTCAGATGCTGGGGGCTCATCTGTACCCTGGAGAAGAAAATAAGAACTTGGGTAGGTTTGACTGCAGAGAGTGTAGCAGCAGCAGCAGCAGCAGCAGCAGCACCAGTGGCAGCAAAGGCTAGTGCTCACCCTGCCCTGCCCATCGTCACCACCTACACATTGTGTACTGCTTAAATGTTTTCCAAAAAGAAAAATACTCTTATCCCAACTCTTCCAAAGACTATATGCTAATGTGAAAGTCTTAGGATGGAACCCAAACCAAGAATTCTGAGCTAATTTTGTGATATTCACTTTAGCAATCATAACCTAGTTTTGACTTACATTTTAGCTTGTGGCCCTCTACAAACCCTAGACCCTTCTCTGCCATCACACGGATTATTCTATATCTCCTCAAAAGAACTGGGCCTCAGGGGAAGACATTGAAGCATGATCTGAAGTTGTCAGTACTGAAGCATAAATGTGAGGCCTTAGATTCTATAATAAAGTAAAAATCTGTAAAGCTGCTTTGAAGATATAAATGTGATTACAGATTTAAAGGGGACACCACTATAGAAAAAGTGAGAGAAAGGTAGAGAGAAGAGGATAGAACAGGAGGTTCTGGGGGAAAAAAAAGAAAATCAAGAGCTAAGAATGAAGATGTGAAATGCAGCAAAGATCCCAGGGGTCCAAACTGCACCTCTTCAACTGTCTTTTAGCTGAGAAAAAAGAGGAGCAGCATCCAATATCCTCCTATGGAAAGAAGAAGACTTCTGTGGCGTTACAGAAATGTCAGCAGACCAGAATCCAAGTCTTAGCTCTACCTCTTGACGTTGTATGATATGTAGACAAACTGCTAGGCTTCTCTAACTCCCACTTACATACCTATAAAGCACAGATGGTAATGCCTACCAAACAACATTGTCGATAGGATAAATGATATGGTGCAAATAAAACATACCCAGCTTAGTAGAAGTAAAAAAGTTTAAGTCTATATCTGTGCAATATTATAAAAGTGCTGCCTGCCAGCATCTAACATAGACCCTCACTCTGCTCCTTAAGCTCAGCCCTTCCCCCTGTCTGGGATTCATAAGGTCTGGCAAGGGAGCTAGGCAGATGACAAGATAAGAGACAGCCTCTCTTCTGCTCTGGCACTGGTAGGAGTTCAGCACAGCTCAGAAGGTACCATTGGTGGGCAGGGTCCCTACTGTCATCCAGGAAGACAGGGCTAAGCCAAGCTACTCTGGAGAGTAGTGAGCCTAGATCTAAGTTGGGACTGGATACTACGCTCTCTGGAGCTTTTCTGAGGTGGGAGATTGAGTCCAGGGTAGTCTTGAAATGTGAGGGCTGAGCTCAAGGCAGCCCTAAGGTGCAGAAACTGTATTCCTGTGCTGCCTTGTTTCAGTAAGCTAGTAGGTGGGTGGACAGAAAGGCCTCCAAGAGCTCATCTTCAAGACATCTCTGTGTCTCAGTTGCTCATCTACTTCTGCAGAACATCCCTGCAGACCACTCACCCAACAAATTCCATTGATTCATATCCTAAGGTAGCCAGCTCTGGGTTGTGGCAGCCACATAAAATATTTTCCCCATCTTCACTGTAGAGAGAGGGCCACAAGCTAAAATGTGGGGAGGCTGTGTTCTGTGAGTGATCCTAGGATGGGCAGAATATGTATGCCAAGCCACCCTGATGCTTACCTGCAGGGTCTCCTCCTGGCTCTGGGACTGAACAGGTGCTGGCTGCCTCACGATGTAGTTGATCTGCCCCACAATGGTTTGCTGAAGATGCTGAGGAGATTTGGTCTGACTCAGTTGCAAGCTGGGCTGTTGAGCCTGGAGAAGAAGCTCCAAGTCCTTCTGCATTTCCTCCAGCTCAAACTTGTGATGCATTATGTCCACATTCTGAGAACAGGCAGGCCCAGGAGGGCTCTCATGCTGACTAGAAGCCAGATGCTGGGATGGAGGTAGAGGTGGGTGTGGCTGCTGTGGGGGAGCGGGGAGGGGAGGTGGTGGAGGTGGTAGCTGCTGCTGTGGCTGCTGCTGAAAGTGACTGAGCTTCAGCTTCTGGTTGTGGCCAAACTGGACTTGGATAGAGGGTGTCTGTAAGGTGGGCTGGGCATGGGTTCCTTGCTGAACATCCTGTGGGGGGACAATGCACACGGGCTGGGAAGTCAGCTGCTGCCCCAGCCGCTGGGATGTGCTCTCCTGCTCCACAGGGGGCTGGGTTTCCAGCCAGGGCTGCAGCAGCTTTGGTGGATGAGGGCTGCAGGCCAGCTCTTTCTCCCTGGGCAGCAGGGCAGAGCACTGCAGAGACCCCAGCTGCTGGGGCACCATCTCAGAGGGCTGCCTAAAGTTGTGGGCTGGGTGCATGCTGGGTGGGGGGACCTGGCCTTTGAGGGAAGGCGAGACTGGAGAGCAGTGGGAGCAGCACACAGATGAGGAGCACACTGCTGGAGACTGGAACTTGTGAGGGGGGTGGCTAAGAGCCTCTTGCTGAGCCACTGGAGACTGGTGGCTTTGATAAAAGGGTGATGGCCCCTGTAAGCCTCCATAAGCAGGAGCATCTGCCCGGGACAGTTGTCCACCTTCAGTAGTTATGCAGCCTGAAAATGCAGAATAGAGAGTTTTTCAAGTTTTTCAAGTTGCTCCCACCTTGCTACTTCCTGCTCCTGGGACAAAAGAACCTCATTCGACAATCCTGTACCAGGCACGGAGATTAGGAAATTCAACCCTTGATATCCTAGACTCAGTCTAGAATGCTGCCAGTAATAGCACCTGTATGGACCTGCTTTGGGGGCCTAGGATATTTGAGAAATTAGCTCAGTTTTTACCAGATGCTCAGCCCTGACTCTGTTTCTATCCCACTAGGGAAACCATAAGCTCTCTCAAATAGCACTCATTTTTTTTTTCAACAGAACAGCCCAATCAGACTCTGACAAAAAGAATCAACTTTGGGGTGGGGAGGAAGTATGCCAGAAAGTAGCAAAGGGTAGAAAGTCATGCCTGGGACCAATGAACAAGTTCCCAGATACAGGCGTGGGGAACTGTGTGTTGAGCAAGCAGGATGGAAGAGAGTGGGGAAGCTCTAATACCAGGTAATATGGTTTGGAGCTGTGTCCCCACCCACATCTCGTGTTGAATTGTAATCCCCAGTTTTGGAAGTGGCGACTGGTAAGAGATGACTGGATCAAGAGATTAGAGTGGAGAAGCTCTAATACCAGGTAATATGGTTTAGAGCTGTGTCCCCACCCAAATCTTGTGTTGAATTGTAATCCCCAGTTTTGGAAGTGGCGACTGGTAAGAGATGACTGGATCAAGAGATTAGAGTGGGGAAGCTCTAATACCAGGTAATATGGTTTGGAGCTGTGTCCCCACCCAAATCTCGTGTTGAATTGTAATCCCCAGTTTTGGAAGTGGCGACTGGTAAGAGATGACTGGATCATGGGGGCAGATCCCTCATGAATGGTTTAGCACCATCCCTTTGGTGCTGTTCTTGTGATAGAGTTCTCGTGAGATCTGATTGTTTAAAAGTGTGTAACACCTCCCCCCTTGCTCTGTTTCTTGCTGCTCTGTCCATGTGATGGGCATCTTCACCTTCCGCCATGACTGTAAGTTTCCTGAGGCCGCCCCAGAAGCCGAGCAGATTCCAGGATCATACTTCCTGTACATCCTGCAGAATCATGAGCCAATTAAACCTCTTTTCTTTATAAATTACCCAGTCTCAGGTATTTCTTCACAGTAATACAAGAATGGACTAATATACCAGGTCAGTGCCAGGTACCAGCACCATCCCCTGAGGTCTCTAGGTTCCTTGTGCACAAGTAGATCTATGGCTAACTCAGTCTAATGACTCCTTCATCTCATTATTTTGATGAGGCTTACTTAGAGGAAGTCTGAGCTCCTTAAGGAAAATGTGTTTTATTCACCATTGGTTCTTTGGTACTTGGCCTGGGGCCTAAACAAGAGTAGGTGCCTATCAAAGGTCTGCTGAGTTAAATCAAAGGAAAGAGGGAAGAAAAGAAATAAACCTACATATCATTTGTCATTTTGCCAAGTTCAACAAATTTTCAATAAGATTAACAGCCTCAAATGAAGGCAGCAGCTGGCCATCAGTTTAACAAACTCGTTAGGCTGTCAACACAGGCACAACTTCAAGCTGTCTACATTCTGCCTAAAGACTGAATGCCAGCAAATGTTTGCAGCAGGGAAGAAAAATGCACAAGGCCATGAATTATCTGCTTATATCTCAACTCAAAAGGATATGTCTGTGTAACACAAACATGCACACGCAATTTCACTGTTGCTGAGATACCCCTGCTTGTGCCCACACATGTATACCTTTGTGTGACCACAGAGACACACATTCATCTGTACTGCCATACAGCATTCTAGAGAGCAGGGTGACTGTCTTGTCTCCTTCTCAGCAATAAAACCAAGGTAACAGGACATTTACACAGAATGGTAAACTCAGATTTCAACTGGTCCTGATACAAAGTCCTATATTGCCACTGTTATTTAAATTCCTCATTCTCTCCTCTTCCCCCTCAGAAAAAAAAAAAAAAAAAAAGTTTGCTGAATGATTCCAAGACCACTGGCAGTCCCAGGGAGTGCTTTTTCTTAGGCATATGCTGACCTACCCAGTAAGGTAAGTAATTAGGTCAAAGCCCAAAGGGTGGGTAGGCCTGGGTGGGTGGGTCCAAGCTCACCAAGAGAAGCTAGCTGCTTGGTCCAGAAGTTAGGCTCCCAGGTGAATCTGATACTCCAAGGGGAGCCAGGATCTGTGTTACAACTTGTCTCCAGCAATCGCTGCATCTGAAACACAATCTGACAACAGCACCAAAGGTCATTTATTTGGGCATCTTGCACCTAAATGACAACTCCCCTTCCCTTACTCTTTGGACAAGCTGAAAGGCTCAAAGTCATGGCTGTTTAACCTCTGGTCATCCTCCATATTCTCATTCTCTTGCACCTTAGCACCTGCCCATCCTCCCAGCTGATCCCTTTCCTCTTATCAAGACTTCTGGAACCTACAGTCTTTTTTATTTTATTTTATTTTATTGAGACCGAGTCTCACTCTGTTGCCCAGGCTGGAGTGCAGTGGCACGATCTCAGCTCACTGCAAGCTTCGCCTCCCAGGTTCACTCCATTCTCCAGCCTCAGCCTCCTGAGTTGCTGGGACTACAGGCACTCACCACCACACCCAGCTAATTTTTTGCATTTTGTTTAGTAGAGACGGGGTTTCACCGTGTTAGCCAGGATCGTCTCAATCTCCTGACCTCGTGATCGGCCCGCCTCAGCCTCCCAAAATGCTGGAATTACAGGTGTGAGCCACTGCACCCGGCCTGGAACCCCTACATTCTTATCTTTTCAGGCCTCAAGTGATTTGTCATTCTCACTCATGACATCATTGACTGGTGCTCCATTCATTCTACCATCACCTCAATTTAAGAGCCTAGTGGGGGCAGGCATTTTCTGAGCTCCCCATTGCTGTACTTCCATTTGCAGGTAAAACACCCTTCTGTCCTACACAATAGCCCTCTTCCTCTCCCATCACTTTCATCTATTTCTCATCACTAACTCTCCTATTTATCCAGGGCTTTGGCAAGTGTCCAACTTACCCTGCCATCCTCTGGTTAACTAATGTCCCAACTAACATCTTAGCCTCTTATTTCGTTGATCTCTTGCATGGCAACCACCTTGTTTTCAGTTTAGTCACCATACCTAGACCCTATTGATCATTTACAACCATTCTACCTATGAGACCTTTAAACTCCAACAACCCACTCTGGTCATAACAAGTTCATGCTGTTTCAGAGTATGTTCTTCAACCTCTCCAAGCCCTGCTCCTTCAGTCCACAGGACTCCCCAGCTTCCTGTCATTTACAGTAATGATATCACTAGTGTCCTAATTCCCTCCCCATCGCCAACTCCTACTCTTAGGTAATCCAGTCATACCAAAGCCATGTTACCTGGGGCCACTTCAGTGATTATTAATTTCAGCAGCACCCCTCAGCCCTTTCTCTTGTCACTTCTTGTCATCTTTCTCTTCCACTGCACTCAATGACCATTTAAAATCTTCACTTTGGTGCTACTTACCAATGTTTTAACCCTCTTATTATCACCTCCTATTTCACAGAGAAAAAAAAGACACCATAAAGGATAAATTACCCCAAACTTGTATCCCTTCTACCCTCAAACTTAACTACAGCATTGTCCCCTTCCTGTCCTCCCATCTCAGAAGGGACTGTCCTTGTGTTTAAGGTCAACCAGTTCACTCTATATCCTTCCTCCTGCTTTCTCAGTGTACTTACCCCACCACACACCCCTCCTCTCTATCTTCAACCTCTTCTACCACATACATGTGTGCAAACGTTTTCCAAGCTTAAAAAATGTTTCCCCCAACTCACTGTCTTCTCAGGCTATGTTTTTATTTTTTCTTCTTTTCATTTCTGTCTCTACTTCCTCACCACCCATCCTCAGTCTCCTCATTCTAGCTTTTGACCCTTCTACTTTGCTGGAGCTTCTTTCAGAAGATAGCCTGATTCCCAGATCTCGAGGCTGCTCTTCCCTATTCATCTTCTTTCACCCATGCAGCATTGCCAAACGGGTCACTTAAAATTGGAAACTGTTCGTTTCTGTGTACCACACTCTGTTTTGCTTCCAACCTCTGACTAGTGCATCTCACTCTCCTCCACTCATCATCTTCCTCTGTCTATGCTGAAAACGATGGTATTCCCTGGGTTCCCAACTTTCTCTCTTCTTGCTCCACACACTCTTGCAAGGTGATACCACTGATTTCCTGGTGACTCCTACATCTCCTTCTCCAAAACCAACTTTTCTTCTGACTTCCACACCCATATATTAGAACAGCTTTTTAATGGTAGGTAGCTTGGATTTGGTTTTGGATGCACTATAGGCACCTTAGACTCAAAGTATTCAAATATAAACTCCATCAACTTCTCTCAAAATTCTTGCTCCCTCTCCTGGGTGCTGCCGTCTTCTCAAGCCTAATACTTCAACCTTATCTCCAACTCCTTTTCTCTCAGACCCCCACGTAAACCCCAGTAACTTTCTATGAGATGCCTAGCACACTACTCATGTCCAGGGTAATGTCTGAACCAGTGACCTATGACAAAAAGCTACAGACTTTCCCAACTGAGCTACCATTGGGAGGGCAGGACCATTTCAGCACCTGCGTCCTCTTTGCACTATGGGATTTGGTGAAAGATGGTGTTTACTTACTAACCCAAAAGCAGTGATTGAATTTGAAGGATGGATGGAGCTGCTATTTTATTCCTCCTTCCATTCTAAAAAGAAAAGGCACTTCCAAGGACCACCTCATTGCCCCTGTGACAAAGGGGATGCTCTGATAAGCTTCAAGAACAGGCTGAGGAGTTGGGAGATTCCTCTTACCAGCTCTTTGCTGAAAAGAAAAGGGACACTGGTTTTGCTGCAGACAGCCCAGTTGATGAAATTCTGCACATGCTCAAACTGACGGTTGAGAACCATGATGCTCTGTAACTGCTGTTCCAGCTTCCGCTTTCTCTCATTAGTAATCCCCTGGGTACAGAGAGAAGACAGTTATTGGACTGTAATCCACCTGCTTGGGAAGTCTGGTGGCCTGTGTATGTCACTGATGGAATCAGATGAGACTACCCCTCTGAGAGGACAGTAGGGCAGAGTGTTGTCATGGGATGCTGGCTGATAGAAAAGGGGAGGGGGAGGTGGTGGGAGATTTTATGGTGCACATATGGACTGGGTAATAAATGAAAGAGGAAATGAATAAATGTCTATATCTCTTGGACATAGATTAGCGAAGAAGGTAGTTTGTTTCATGACTTTCTCTTCCAAGATTATAACCCTGTGCAATTAAGGATGGAAGCTGCCTAAGAGACAGAGCATCAAAGATCAGCTTGACCTGATTTTCTAGCCCTTCATGAGCCACCCTCCCAAAATTAGGCTGACATTTTAAAATACAGGGAGCAGGAGAGAGCTATGGAAGCTGCATATCTGAATTACAGCCTAGGCTTCCCTCGGTCCTGGGACTAGCTTGATCTGTGGATGGTTTCTGAACCCATCCATCTGATCCATCTGTCTATACATACCTCTAATTCCTCTATTAGCCCATTGGCCTGTTTGTTCAGCTCATTCATCAGAACCATCTTGGCCATTTTGATCTGGTTTTCCACCTTCCTATGCTGATGCTTCACTTCAAAAATCCTGTAAACACAATGGGACAAGCCATGGTAAGCTTTCCTCATGGACTATATGAAGACTAAGAGACAGCAAACATAAGAAGCAACTTGGAGGCTGCCTACTGAGATCAGGGCCTAGCAGACACCAAATACAAAAAAAAAAAAAGAGCCTTCCTCCACTACCCTACCTTTTGTACACCTGAGCCCCACTTGATCAAAGTTCAGCTTGGTTTTCTCTAGGTAAACCTCAAGTCTACACCCAGGTCAACCCAGTAGCCCCCAGTTGACATAGCACTAGAGGTAGGACCAAAAGAGAAAGTATGGGAATGATTTATTGTAATTTGTTGTCTTTAAAAGGAGGATGCTCCAATAAATGTCACCATGAGGCAAAAATACGCAGAAAGCAGACTAGTGGTTTCTGAGGGCTGGGAGGTGTTGGGGGAATGGAGAGTGACTAATAATGTTTACACTATTGGCATAATAACATATTAGATAATAAACAATAATAAACATTATATAATTATATAATAAATAATAAACATATTATATAATATTTATTATAAACATATAATAATGTTTATATTAATGTGGCTTCTTTTTGGGGGGACGAAAATGTTTTAAAAGTAGACAGTAATTATGTATGGTTGCACAATTCTGTGAATATACTAAAGGCCACTGAATTATATATTTAAAAAGAATAATTTTATGATATGTACATTATATCTCAGTAAAGCTATTTTAAAAAATTTAAAAAGCATGGGCTTTGAAGTCACCACAGACCCAGCGTCTAAACCCAGCACAGTCACTGGCTAGTTGTGTGATCTCAGATAAGTTACCTAACCTCTACGAACCTCAGTCTCCTCATCAGTAAAATGGAGATAATCCCTGACTGAAAGAATAGCAAGAACTGAATAAAATAATGCATACATGATACCCAATGCAGTGCCTGCCACATGAGGTGCTCTCAGCACCTACCACTTCCTCTTCCTATGTAAAATACCAATGATTTCATGTGATTTGTAGATTAATAGAGAACACACAGGGAAAGGGGTGATAAAGCGCAGATTGCCCCTGGTTTGTTCCACCCTCATAATAAGCAGCACTCTCGTCCCTAGTGTCTGCTTGGTACCCTTGTTCTCAAGCACCGACTTCTGGCTAGTTCATAACATGTATGCTTTGACCCAGACTCACTCTGATCATCCTGACCTAGCTTGGTCTCAGTTACCAAGTGATGACTTAATGATCCCTCCTTGGCCCTGAGACCTCTAAGGCCAAGACATATGCCTTCTAGGACATATGCCCACATCTGCTTAACCACAGTTCCTCTTCACAGGCACTACATCTGATGGCCTGTTGTCGGAATCCCGGGTGTGCAGGAACACAGCATTTCCAGCACCGGCAAGGCACTAGCCTGTGCTACCTGTCCTCAATTTGCTTTGCAGATGTCTGTAGACTGGATTTCTTATGTGCCACCTGTGTAGTCACACTTTCCAGAAGCATCCTCTGGTTTTGCAAAACTTCTTCAACATGTCTGCACCTGGGGGATGAGGCAGAGAAAAAGCTGAGAAGGGCTGAGTCCTACTTTGAGCATGCCAACCAAGCGGGAATCTCCACAGGGGATTGTCTCAGCCAGACCCATGGAGGCTGTGATGACTTCTAGTGAAAGTCTAAGGCACCACAGGCTCTTGGCCCATTAGGCCTTTTCCAGGGAAGTACCACAACAGGAGCAGGGAAAAACTTCAGCCCAGGGGCTGTAGGTTGGCTTGGGCAGGGAGAAGATTTTGATGCATGGGGAGCCCCAGAGCTCTCGAAAGTAAGAAATCCAGAGCCCTCCCCAGCCCATTTCAGGCAATCTGTCAGCCCCACCTGTGTTCTTTGTGTTCCACCATCAGGCAGCTATGGCAAGTGAGCATATCACATGTCTCGCAGAATAGCTTGAGTACTTCCTGTGTGTGTAGAGGACAATACAAGGTGAAGTCTCCGGGACCACTATTCACTCCTGCCAGAGAAGACAGAGGAAGTGGGCTTCTCTTGCTCAGTTAGACAGACCTCTCAGTTTAAGATTTGCTGCACAGCCCTCCGCCTTCAGAGGACACTGCAGAAACACAGAGCTTGGGAGAAGTGGTACAAACAGGAGATGACTCTCCAGGGGCACAAGGAGGATTTTGGGCTTAGCTTGGCTGGATTTGCCCAGTTGTCCAGAAATAGCACACCATTAAGCCTGAGCATCCCACTACCTGCCACAGGCTGAGGAAGGCACTTGCTACTACTGCACATAGATCTCCTGCAAAATAATGAATCCTTCACAATTAACCTCAACCTGTTCATTAATCAGGATTCTGTTTTTAACAGAGCTGAAACCAGCTACCCAGCCTTGCCAGGCTCCAGGCTAGATCTCATGGATCATGAACTCTGGTTCCTGTGGATTTGACAGATGTAGAACCCCTTTCACAATTCAAGGGCCTTGAGAAAAGACTTTCAAGAAGAGTGTCATTTAAAACAGATGGTGGCTGGGCACAGTGGCTCACGCCTGTAATGCCAGTACTTTGGGAGGCCAAGGTGGGCGGATCTCCTGAGGTCAGGGGTTCAAGACCAGGCTGGCCAACATGGCAAAACCCCATCTCTACTAAAAATACAAACATTAGCTGGGCGTGGTGGCGCATGCCTGTAATCCCAGCTACTCAGGAGGCTGAAGCAGGAGAATCACTTGAACCCAAGAAGTGGAGGTTGCAGTGAGCCGAGATCGTGCCACTGCACCCCAGCCTGGGTGACAGAATGAGACTCCATCTCAAAAAAATAAAAATAAAAATAAAAATAAAATAAAACAGATGGTGCTGGATAGACAAACGAACAAGCCCTGATCCAGACTAAGTTAATCAAGTAAATAAATTAGAAGGGTGGCATGATTGCTCTAGAGGTGAAAGGCAGGGAGCTCAGCTAGCTTCCACAATAATCCAACACCTTCCTCCCTGTACCATTTCATCCACACTCATCCACCCCACTCCCCACAGGGAGGGACAGGAGTGAGTCACCCCTTTGACTCTGAAGGAGACTTCCTTTGGGAAAGGCTCTGAGACTGTCCCTACCTTCTCCCTCAGCAAGGAAATAAGATCGAAGAGCTATTCTCCAGGGATCTTAGGGTTCAGCCCTGCTTTAGGGCACAGGAGTGGGCGAGGAGAGGTGGAATTGGTACCTAGAGATCCCTTCTGGGCCCGAGGAAAGAACGGGCCCCCAGAGACAGGGCTGTGTCGGTGTTCCTCTGTGCAAGAGCTGCATAGCCAGCGATTGCAGTAGGTGCAGAGGATATGTGCTGCCCTCTTCTCCTTGCACTCGGAGCAGTTCTGGAAGCAGAGAGTTCTGGAGTTACTGACATGATCCTCATTTGGGTCTGCCTCCACAAGTGGCAAATACTCTAAAGACAGGGGTCCTGCAGGCCTATTCCTCCACTATTTTGGAGTGTAGTCTGTTTTGCAGAGCTGTCTGGGAGTAACATGCCGGGGCTTGTGAAAGGAAGCATCCTTTATGACCAAAAGAACAGTGGCTACGTCAGGCATGGTGGCTCACACCTGTAACCCCAGTACTTTGGGAGGCCAAGGCAGGAGGATTGCTTGAGCCCAGGAGTTTCAGACCAGCTTGGGCAACATAGTGAGACCCCATCTCTACAAAAAGTACAAAAATTAGCCAGGAGTGGTGGCACATGCCTGTAGTCCCAGCTACTAGGGAGACTGAGGTGGGAAGATCGCTTGAGCTCAGGAGGTCAAGACTGCAGTGAGCCAAGATCATACCACTACACTCCAGCCTGGGCAACAGAGGAAGACCCTGCCTCAGAAAAGGAGGAGAAGGAAGAAGGAGAAGGAGAAGGAAGAAGGAAAAGGAGCAGGAGGAGGAGGAAGAGTAGGAGGAAGAAGAGGAGGAAGAGTAGGAGGAGGGGAAGGAGGAGAAAGGAGGAAGGAAAGGAGGGAAGGAAGGAGGGAGGGAGGGAGGAGGAGGAGCAGCAGCAGCAGCTGTCTCAGGGGCTGTTCACACAAGTCCTGTGCTGAAGCTAAGGATACCTAGATGCATAAGCCAAGGATCTGACCTCACGCTATCCATAGCACACAGGATGGTATGCATTAACTGAGTAATGCTGTAATAAAAAGGATGCAACATATGCAAAGGAAGCAAAGGAAGCCTTCCAGGAACTCAGTCTAGGAGTGGCTAGGAAAAGTTTTACAAAAAGGAAACATTAGAGCTGGATACTGAATGACAAGTAGGTTCACCAGGCAGACAAGGGAGGAAAATTTAGAGGGCAAGCACTGGCAAAAGCAGGAAATTCAGAGAGGAGTGCTTCAGAGAGGAGAAGGCCCACATATGGGATTACACAGCAAGATGGTCAAATGCAGCCAAGAAAGGGCAAGTACAGACCAGCGTTCAGACTTGCGCTCCCACACCTGGGTTCTGCCTGATCTGAGGGTATCTAGGCCTCTCCCAGTCCAAATGTTCATTCATTTGGTAAGCAAATATCTTGCCAGGGCCGATATAAAACATCAAGAGAAGGGGAGATTTGGAAAAGTTGGGCTATCTGCGCCTGAATCACAGAGGCCACCAAACTGATGTGAATTCTGAAAGTTTTACTAATTAAACTATGAATTCCTTGAAGGTAGAGTATGTGGGTCTATCTCCCTAATATCCAGCACAGGGCCTGGCACATGTGAGACATTCAACACAAATCAGTCACAGGAACAAGTAAGTAAATTAGTAAATTAGTAATTTACTAATTTAGATAACAAGGATATCCTAGTGGAAAGAGGAACAGAAGGGCTGCCAGCCAGTAAGTGATAAAAAATTTAAGAAATTCAGGAAAAAGGCAATAGTTGGTAAATACAGGCAAGATTAATAAACCCATTTAATCTAGGCTGGTATATGAATTTCAACTCAGGATAATAAAAAAATAAAACAAAAGCCCAGTACTGGTATTTTTCAGTAAGAGCTGTAAGAGAGAAAAAAATAATTATATATACAGTAAGCAACTCTTAATATATCTTAACTTACACTCACCTTCTGCTAAAGGGATTGATACTAAAAAAAGTCAGTAATTTTCACTTAATAGAAAACCCCCTCATTGTTTTCCCCAACTCATGCATTTTTATTTTCTTCTAGATGGATGGATGGATGATTAGTAAAACTGAAAGAGAAGTAACAAATCATACAGAGTGATAGATAGATAGACAGACTTATGGACAGGGGCCTCACAGATATCAGAAACAGATCAGCTGCTTCTTTCCTTGCCCTGACTTACCCTGGCCATCTTGGGTTGCTCAGTAGGAACACACTGCAGAAAAAAATGTTCAGTTACATCCCTGGTAAGATATACTTGTTCACACCCAGGACAGGAGATGAGCTCTGTGCAAGAAAGAAAGATAGCAGAGTCAGAGCAACATGGCTGATTATACCTAAGGCCTGGACATGGGGCTTTCTAATACACAACACCAAGATACGTGGCAATACCCATGTCTGCCAAAATGAACTACATTTGATGCCATAGCCTGCATTTACTATGTGGGTACCCTGAACATCACCATCCCATTGGGGCCTTCCCTACAGACCAACTGGTCTCCTCACATGCTTGTCTTTACCTGGTCCTACCTTCCTCCCCACCCCATAAGCCATGCTACTACAGGCCCAGCCCTGCTTTGGTTCTGACAATCAGGTGCCTTCTTGCTGCTCCCATTCCTCATTCCACATCCCTGAGAGCACAGCTCCCATCACTAGCCAAGATCCAGGGAGTCAGTTTAGTTAGAGGCACAGCTCCACGTCATTACAGTTACCACATAGCAGGATGATTTGGAAGATCTCAAAGCTACAGTTTCCAGAAGGCTTTAGTCAGAGAAAGGCAAGCCCTCTCTGCCTGCTCATCTAGGAGGTACTTTTCTCTTAGACAGCATATACCAGTCAGTCTGCCTCTGAGGCTCAAAGGTCTTTTGGAGGGCTCTCTCCCCATAGTCCATGTTGGATGCAACATATATATGTATATTTTACCTATGAACAGCTTGACCTACAATCTCTCCCCAGAGAAATATATCCGTCTCTAACACATTCTTCAGCATAGTGGGCTTCTGGACCATAAAAGCAGCAAAAGACTCCCACCCTGGAGACCACAGTGATTCTGCCGGCCCACCCCAAGAGCAGTCAACCTACTGGGAACAAGAAAATGAGCCTCTGGAGTAGGGCAAGGTACCTGTGTCCAGGGATGAGGGTGATCTGGAAAGGGGTTGGCTATGGCAGTGAATGCAGCAGTCCCGCTACAATCTCCTCTGTCTCATCTCTTCAAAATATGGAAGATGGATATAATGGCAGCTGCTCCAGACTTATAGTCAGACAAATGTAAGCCCAAATACCAGGTTTACCAGCCAATGACCTTGGGCAAAACAATCTCACTTAATTGCTCTGTGCCCCACTTTCTTCATATGTAAAATAGGGAAAATAAGAGTTGCCGTGCAGATTAAATTAGATAAAACTTCAGAAATCACATGGTCCTCCATGAATGTTGACTTTGGATTCAAAAGATTCCTCATATCCTATTCACAGTAATGCAATAAACTCAATTATCAACTCTCTGGTGATGAAAGTTAGTTTGACTGGTAGATTCAAAAAATGGCCACAAATTCTTCCCTTCCCTGCATCCATACCCTTGCAATCCTACCATCAAAAGGTAAGACTCTCCATGAGCTTCAAGTCAGTGATGAGTTTTTAATTTTTAAAAGAGGTAGGACCCTTTACCCTTTGAATCTAAGCTCACCTAGTGACTTTCTTTGGCCAACAGAATGCAGCAAAAGTGACAAGTTCTCCAAGCCTAGGCCTCAGTGGCCTTATATAATTCTGCTCTTGTTCTTAGAACTCTAAGACTGCCATGTGAAAAATCTAACCTGGCATTGAGATTGCTGGAAGATGAGAGAGCATGCAGAGAGAGATCTCAGTTGTCTCAGGCATCCCACCTGAGGCCATCATAGACCAGCTAGCCCCAACTAACACACTAGCTGAACACAGACGCAAGAGTGAACACAGTCATAATTATTTAAGCCCAGGCCAAATGAGAAGAATTACCCAGAGAATCCCAGCCCAAACAGCCAAACTGTAGAATCATAAACTAAATAAAGTTTAGTTATTTTAACTACCAAGTTTAGAGGTGGCTTGTTATGCAGTAAAAGCTAATTGATACATCCCGGGAAAATCAAAATCCACAAAATCATGAAAAATAATAGTTTAATACTCCCTTACCCCACCAAAAAATAAAAAAAAAATAAAAAAAAGGAAGAAAGAAAAACTTTCTGAGTCTTTGCAGAGCCATGAGTGTTAATGACAGGATTGCATCTGGAATGTCCTGCATATTCTCCTGCCTGTCAAGAACAATGGCCAGAGGTGGAGAAGGATGCTCTCCACAGGTGACATCATCCAGGGGAATAAGGCTACTGTCCCTCCCTTCCACTTGGTTCACCCTGGGGAGGCCTCCTCCTCTACACCCAGGACAGAAATGCTGCTCTAATCGTTGAAAACAACATCCACAAGACTTCCCTGGTACCAGATGCCCAAACATCAGTCACTGTAACATGGCCTCATGAGCAGAATGAAAAAAGAGAAAGAACTTAATAGGTCAAAGAAGGCCTCATCACACATCCTCTGCTCCCTTGGCCTTAAAGCCAAAGTCCTCAGCTTGGCATTCAATGCCCTTTGCAAATTAACCTTATCTCTCTCTAATCTCATCTTTAGCTTTGCCTGCCATACACCCTGTGTTTTTGCCATGCCCAATATCTCTGCTATTTCTTGAATACACCAAACTTTTGCCTGACTCTGTGTCTGTGAAAAATGCTGTTCCCTCTTCCTGAAATACTCTTTCTTGCCCCTCTCCTTTTCAGATAAACTCCTATTCATCTTTTCATACCTGTTCAAATGTTCCACCTTTGAGAAGCAGGGTTAATTTCCCCCAGGATTAGTTAATTAGTCCCTCTTCTGGGTTCCCACAGCACCCTGAACATCCTTCTAGTACAACAAATATCACATTGCCTTTCAAATACCTGTTCATATGTCTGTATACAAAAATAAATCACAGTTGGTATAAAAGGATATTACCTGGTTTTTAGCAGATTGAATTATAGAGTAAGTCCTCACTTAACATCACTGATAGGTTCTTGGAAACGTCAACTTTAAGCATGATGACGTAAAATGAAACTGTTTTTTTTTTTTTCATCAATGTTATAACAAAAGGATTTACTAAGTGACCCTGTGCATTGGGTTTGCTAAAATCACAGTTCTAAGAATCTATCGAGATGAAATGAGGACTGCATTTCCTTTTCTTTTTTTTCTTTTTTTTTTTTGAGATGGAGTTTGCTCTGTCACCCGGGTGGACTGCAGTGGCACAATCTCGGCTCACTGCAACCTCTGCCCCCTGGGTTCAAGCAATTATCTTACTTTCTACACCATTAAAATGAGAGGAATAGGAATGCAGGGAAGTACAAATTATCCAACCCATTTACTCTGCCTACAGCAGGCCAGGCTTTTTTTCTCCTGGAAGCCAGGCCCGGTGGCTCACACCTGTAATCCCAACACTTGGATGCCAAGACAGGAGGATCATCTGAGTCAGGATTGAGACCAGCTGGCCAGATATAGCAAACCAGTCCTCTACTAAAACACAAAAATTAGCCAGCGTGGTGGGGAGGCACCCTGTATCCCAGCCTCTGGATGAGGCCAAGGCAGGAGAATTGCTTGGAAGCTAGGAGGCGGACTTTGCCAGTGAGCCGGATTGTCGCCACTCCACTCCAGCCTGGGTGACAGAGTGGAGACTCTGCCTCAAAGAAAAAATTAAAATATAAAAATATTAAAAAAAGAAATAAAGAAAAAAGAAATTTATCCCTGGCAAAGATGGGAAGGAACAGAGAGCCAAATGAGCACCCTGGGCTATCATCTCTGCAGAAAGGTCAGGGAAACAAGGCTGTAGTGAGAAAAGCCCTGGGATTTAAGAGGATTATGCGCTCCAAGAGGGCTTGCAGGCCAAAGAGCAGAGATGGAGATATCATCACAAGTGTGCAGGCACTGTCCGCCAGGGAGGGGCCGCCCAGAGTGACCAAAGGGCACGATTGAGCCTCTCTTTGTGTCACAACACCTTTGCCAGAAATTCTTCTCTGTCCCTCAGAAGGGGCGCTAACCCCATTCAAGCTGTGTCAATCTTGACTTTGTTATTTTTTTAAGAGAGAATTCTCCATCTTTTCAATGAAGATATCAAAGGTAGAAGTTTTACTTTAGACCATATTGATATATCAACTCTTAACTGTGTATAAACCAAACATCTACTTAACAATATTAATATTAATTTAGTTATAAATACATATTTAAATCGACATTGTACATAAATATTATTTAGATATCATGCTTTTTCCATTTTATTTGGTTAATTAATTATTAAAACGACAGCCCTACTCTTGTATTTCACATACAAGAACACTGATTCTGAGAAATATAGAGACAGGGCCCCAAGTCCACATGATTATCCCCCATGAGATGTGGGCCACATGATTATCCCCCATGAGATGTGGGGCTTCTGTCTCCAGAATCAGGAAGTCACAGACACCAGAGGTGCTCCTGAGAACTTAGGAGCCTAGGAGAGCAGCTCTGAAAGTGGAGGACATTTAGTCCATCTGTCACAAGTACAAACACTTCTGGTCCTTGAGAGGTGTGGGACACATTTTCATCTGTACACCACCACTCTCTGAACCAGGCACTTTACATGTGTAAAAAATTCCCCAGGTGAAAACAATGTACAACCAAGTTTGAGACACAGCACCTACGAGAGAGCACCCCCTTCCCCTGTGACTGAGCCTGATAGCTGTCTCCTATAGCTTGGCATTCAATGCCCTTTGCAAATTAACCT